ACTTGGCTCAAGCAAAATCTAATAAGCTCAAGCTCATCCAGGGCATGCGAGTTTAGCTGCGCTGGCTGAAGAATATGGGGAAATGGCTGTCCAGCCTCGGCCACATGAAAATAGCAAACCAACTCTAGAAGCCAGTTAACTAGGCTACTCCATACTCATAAAAACAATAACTCCGGAAGTTGCCAGCGCCAACAATGTACTCCGTACTTAAAACGGAGCCCGAAGCAGGGAAGAGAGATTCCAGGAGAAATTCGCAACAAAAGGAGTGTCTATATTCAGCTGTATTTACAGCCAAGTGAGAATAAACAAATAATGGGAAAAGCTGCATGTACAGGAGGCCCAACCGTTCATTGCAGCCCAAAACCTTCGCTGTCAACGACCGCGCGCCAAAGTTTCTCTTCAAATTTCTGCCGGGTTTTGTATCGGTACAACCCAAGTGCATTGAAACAGGTCCGCGCTGTTGGGAACCTCTCTGAGTCCGGCCCCAGGCACATAAGCCTAATGACTAAGTTGACTGCTCCCATGGCGGGGAGTCTATCGCTGCCCGTGATGAAGCTAAGTATCTTACGTTGATCTTTAGCTGGGATCCTCTCAAAGAAATCCCAAAACCAGGTCACGACTGGTTCCCGATCTGGTGAGGAAGCTGGCCAGTGCTCATACATTGCCACCCCACGCAATGATGGTATATCAAGTGGCTCTTCTGAGCCGCGAATAAGAAGCTCAATTTCTTCGGGCTTAAAAAGATGCAGTGCGTTTCCCCCACAGACAGTAAAGAATCCACGTCTAAATGGTTCGAACTGTCGGCATACCGCCCCGTCAATGATGTAACGCACGTAGAGATCCACAAAATCACGACGGTTCTCATTCGTCACTGGTTGATTCTCTCCCCCAGCACATAAAGGAACTTGGATCATCTCACCATACCGTTCAACTTGGACTACAAAGTCCTGACAAAAAGTTTCAGCAACATCTCCATCATATTCCAGGAGCTGTCGTAGGCCCTTTGCTAACGCAGGTCGAAACTCGGCCAAATCATCCAGGGTAGGCTTGAATGGCTGAGGCGGGGATGACAATGTAGGTGCGACGTTTGATGGTGAATACGCCAGTAGTTTCCGGAAGGCAAACGGAGGCAACGCAATGTCAAGAATGGTCGAATTGTATATTGCTAATCCTAGAACCACGCCGACCAGGAAAAATTGCTCCGACGACTCGAAGCAGTATGGATTGAAATAGCAATATTGGGAATCCTCATCATATAAAAAGAGACCTGCAAAATGATCGTTAGCTATAGTGTCTCAGCTCCTAGAAGGATGCATATGCTGTTAAACACACCATGAAGAGGGTCGAAAACCTCCCTCACTAGCAGGAGAAACCACTCCTTACGTAAACCACCGGCATCAATGCCTTCTTCACCCGCAAATTCTATGCGCAAGCCCTTTTTGATATCTTCCTCAGCAGATCCAATAACAGAGCTTACGCTTTGTAAACTGTCTTCTGCCAAACAGTCCCTTCGTACGTTCAGTACAAGGTACTGGCTTACCCCTCTTCGACCAAGGATCGTGTCAAAGAATGCTTCCCTAGCTTTTGCTTCCATCTGTCGACGGGCATCATGTTCCATAATTTGTATCTTAGCCCATATGCTGAGCAAAAACGAATATTGGCAAAAGGAAAATTTTCCACTACGAGATTCCCATGCCTCGAAATCTAGAATAAGATCGGCATAGTCAAGTCGTGCATTGTAGAAACAGCTTATCGGAATTTTATTCAGGCGATTGCTATTCGGCTCGGAGCCCGAGGGAAGCTCTCTTGCACTAGGGCCACCTTCAACTCTTCGACTATTACCTGTACCATTTGCTCTGAAGAGAAGGGCCATAACACGAGCAGCAGCACGAATTTGCCAGTCGCCTGCGTAGCTGACCAGTTTACTTTCACTTGCTGGAGATATCTCTGGGCTTTCTTGAAGGGCTGTGTGCAATTGTGCATGCGTGACGATCCCCGGTGCAGAAAACGTAGGGACATATCTCCCGAGATTAAGTCCATTCTCGGCCTTGGCTGATTGTCGCTTGTGAGATTTGCCGAGCCGAAAAGTAACAAATCCATTGACAACCTCTACCAATCTTTGGAAATGACTCGGCATAAGTCTTGAAAACCATCCCACAAATGAATAATGACACTCATTAGGCAGATTGGAGATTAACCCAAAAATTCTCTTTAGGGCGGAGTATCTGAGATTTGATAACTCACTACCGCCTGCGGAGGGTTGAAGACGACTGCTCTTTTCAGGGGAAGGTTTGCTATAAGGTGAAGTGGATAGGCCTGGTGGTCTCTGGTTGTGTTGAGTTATCACCGTTGAGGGCGGGGCGCCAGATGGGGTTCTGGGTATAGAACCAGAGGCGTATAGAAGCGGGTTTTCAATTAGTATAAGTAGGAACCGGGTATCATCTGGGCGTATTAGTGGTCGTTTCGGTCGTTGGAGCAGTTTCTCTGTAGCTCGTAGCAAGGTCTTTCGAACTATAAACCTTGACTCCATAATTACTTCGTTAAGTTGAGCCAGATTGGCTAAGTCCTTGGTAGGGGATGCATTTTGCTCGCCCATATCGGGTAAATCAAGGACCATACTATTCCAAGAGTCGCCTGCATGTATAACAAGATGGTACCATTCTAGAAGCTCTGGCCAGTTTATTCGAGGTGACTTTGAATTGGTGAGACTGGCCTTCGTTCCGTATGAGTTCGATGACCGACCATTATTTGGTGACTGACTTCTTGGTGAACGCCGGCTTTCCGCCCACCATGACCCATTCTCGGCGAAATTACCAAGGAGAATCGTCTTCTCATCAAGATTGGACACATGATGATCTTCAGGGGTTGCTGATGACACAGAGGCTTTTCTCCCTACTGATGGTTGTGAGCCCTCACTCGCTGCCCGATGGTAACGGGTTCTGCCAGTTATAAACGATTTATTAAGCGTATCACAGCCATCAAAGCAAGTCGTGATGTATTGTTCTAATGCACGAAATACAGTGGTCGGGCCCTTAACGTCGGTCCCGGACTCTCTGCTTTTCTGGTCTACCCGTTGAGCGGCGGAGTCTAACCGAATGTCGCGTAGGTCATTAGTAGGTGTATAGGGAAGACCCATGTTAGCAACTTTCGCCTTTGGTTGGGGCGAGGTTCTAGAGGTAGATGGCACATCAGATACCAGCACAGAAGGCATATTGGTGTCGTTCTTGTCGCTCTCAGGGTATACTGGGTTCTGCTTGGACGACTCGGCTCCATCTTGCCCTGGACGGCTATGGTCTGTCTTCGGCCGTGCTTGACGGACTCGGTGCTCACCAAGCTGAGTGGAAAGAAATGAAATGAGGCATTCCTCAATTATACTCCGAGTTTCCTCTACGGTAACTGCAAGATAGATATTAGAAAGTGCAAAAGATACAGGGTGTTGATATTGATGTGCACTCACCTCTAGCTTGCGGTTGCTGAATATTATCCGGGCGCAGTTTTTCATCTGGTTTACTACGCCGCAGTCTGCTGCTACGGTGAGGTTCCAAATCATTCATTGTTGCGCACTTTCCGCACCGGAACCCCTTTTTGGTGTAAGGGAAAGCGTTGGTATGATCGCATGTCATACATTTGCGTTTCCGGTACTCTTCCATATGGTTGTCTGAGCCAGCACGTTTCTGAGGGCTACAGGACCGGGCATTTGTGATGACAGGATGTAACCCATCTTCGCCATCTGTAAGCTCAGAATCTATGGTGTCCCTACTCCCGCCGCGGGCTTTTCTTCCCTTTCCAGCAAAAAATGTCGGGAATGGATTGCTGGTAGACCGAGAATGGCCACGACGAAAAGGAATAGCTCTTGACTGTGTTGTAGATTGGTCTGGAGGAAGTAATAGGGTGGATGGATCGAGACTTGACGATGGCTGAGGCGCCGGGTTGCTCTCTATGGCAGGAGGCCCGGCGTTCGCAGGTCTGTTATTGTGATGGGTGAAGCGAGACACCCACGTCGGTGCCATTATTCCCAAACTCGACGTTCGATATCGCACACGTAGACACTGTATGAACTCTTAGAGACTTCAATAGAGGTAATCAGGGGGTAGTCTCTTTCAAGCAAAATATACCACTCGCGGTTTGCCGTCGGTCTCAAGCTAGCCTTCACCAGAATAGTTGGCAAACAACAGCAGCAACCATAAGGGCGTGCAGGGCGCAGATCTGGTGACGAGGCTGGATCAACAGTACTGGGAGGCGTGGTATGTTTCTTCTTCTCGAAATCGATGTCGATGGCCGCCGGTCTGTCTCAGAGCTGAAACCGAGACGACCGCCGTAGGGCAGCAGTGCTCAATTCAACAGCAGTCGTTGTCAAGTATTGTTCGTCTTCCCGCCGCGTCCCGAACAACGAGGCAGCAGCACTTTGGCAGGCAGAAGCAGCATCCTGGGCCTGGTAGCACCGCCTTCCTGGAGAGTCTGCGTATCTAAAAATGCCCGACGAAAGGTGCGCTCAGCTCGGGCTGAAAGGTAGGAGTGTTTTGGTTGAAGCTGAGAGCAGTTAAATGCGCCTTTGGGGAGACGAGGTAAGGTTAGTTAGTTACGTGGATGCGGACAGAAGGTTTTTGGTTCTGACATCAGCCACACCCTCCATCGCCTCGTCATTCAGCCCCTGGGCCTTGGGCAGTTGATTTGACGGAGGTTGATCACCACTTAAAACTACCGACGCGAGCACCACGGTGTCTAGAAACGTGCTACGGGCAGGCTTAGACAATCAATAGGCACATGTCAAGATAGGGATGTTCTACAGAGGGTGGTGGAAGGGATAGTTCGTTAAGCTGAATGGGCGGCATCTTTTGAGGGTCATTTCATAGCCAGGAATTATATCATTTCTTGGTATGGCATGCATTGATCAACATGACGTGAGCAGTTGCGCATGCTTCGGAGAATAAGATAGAAGAATTTTGGTAAAACATGACAACAAAATTGAAAACCCGCAAAGCCCAAACCATTCATTACATTTAACGGTATCTCCAGAAGTTCTGGGTGTTGAGTCGTTTCCAGGTCTTCCGTCTGCCGGCGGTGGTCTTGTTGTAGCCGTGGCCCTTGTTGAGACCACGGGACTTCTTGCCGGTGGCAGTGAGACCACGGGATTCGCGGTGCTAGAAGGCAGATCAGCGGCATATTCCACATATTGGGCATGTCCTAAGGAGTCATTTACCTTGTGAACGGGGTTGACGATCCAGTTAATGCGAGGATCCTTGCGGATGGCCTTGTGCTGAGGGTCAACGAGGATGATTTCGTAGTACTTGTAGGTAGAATCTTGGTTGATCCAGTAGGAGTTGAGAACACGCAAGTTGGCACATCGCTTGCCAACACGCTCCTCAGCAGTGGATCTGAGGGATCGCTGATACTTGAGCTGGTTGACACCCTGGTTGGTAGGTTTGCCTATATAACTCCAGTTAGCCACAGCGGAGCGTCGTTATACAACCAACATAGTAATCCATACCGTAGGTAGCACCCTTGCGAGCGGTTCTCTTGCGGCCACCGCGTCTCACACGGATGCGGTAGATAACGTAGCCCTGCTTGGCCTTGTATCCGAGACGACGGGCCTTGTCAGGGCGAGATGGGCGGGAGGCGCGGTGGATGACATTGAGTTGACGAAGCTATATTAATGCACTCTCAGCAAAGTTCAACGAGTGTATAGCAAGGCACGCTGTAAAATCAATGGCAACATGTGCATATTTTGTGTGTGCCACAGAAATCAAGAGACGATTGAAGCGGATTCCTCTTCGGCCATGGTCCTCGTCAGATCGGTGTCGACAAACTTGGTCCAGGTCTTTGAATGATGAATCGGTTCGCTCGGACTAGGGAAAGGACTGTAGGGTTGTAATTCTCACCTCCCAGCATCGGACGCGCAGGAGGAAGCGCATCACATCGGACTGCTTCTTCTTCTGAAGTTCTTCCACATATTTAAGGGCACCCATCTGCAGTCAAGGCACGATCCTGTTAGCTTTGCAACCCAATTCCACTCCCAGCACTCGACAGGCTCTCAGAAAAACATGTCTGCCGGCAGCAGCCCGAATCAGAGACAGGGAGGGCATCTTACCTTGACGTCGTGGAGCGGCTGGCCTGGTTGTTGCTGGTTTACTTACCGTCGTTCAGGCGTTGAAGATGTCGAAAGTGCGACTTTTTCTTTTGTGTGGGCGGAAAATGGAAAAAAGTAAGCGAGTTAGCGCAAAGTCTTGGCGTCACGTGTTATATATTAACGAGGGCAGCAAAGCAGAAGACGATATATATAAAAAAAGAAGGATAAGATGACAGCTAACTAAGATACGATCATCGCTGGTTGATAATGGTACATGACGGTGCCAGGAGTGTGGCCTAAAATAGGAAAGATATCATCTTCGGTTCAGTTTGCCCGAGGCAAGGCCTTGACGAGCTCATGCATTCCCCTTTGCAGATGGCGTGCCACGATCCCCCAGCTCTGAGGTTTCCTGCCGTTGCCAGGACCTCCATTTAGTGCATCTCTTCCCATGTCAAGCATAGCCTGCAAGTCGATGTCATTCAAGAACGCCTCCTCCTTTCTATCCCGCAATTGACCATTTTTCCCATTATATACCAGTTGTTTCTCTATTGCCAGCGCGGTTGCTTCTGCGCCGCGAGCAATAAGACGGCGTGCTTCTGCTGTGTCCTTCTCAAGTCCTTCCTTTGGGTCCTGGGGAAGCTTGGATTTTAGCGCATGGGTACTGATGTTGTCTAGCTCACTGATTAGATTGCGAGCAGACTCGAGAAGCCCCTGCGTTTTGAGGTATAGAGGGTGGCTGGCTGCAAATTGCACGCTATCTGATATTACCGTTTTATCTCCGGTATCGTTCGAGGTTACATTGGCCTTAATTTTCCTTAATGACAGAACTGCTCTCATCAGGGAAGAGAACTGGCACTGGAAGTTCTCATCATCGTTGTGCCTATCTTTCGTTTTAGGATTTTTCTCCTTTTCCAGTAGAGTGGAATACTCACCACTCGTCGTCTTCCTTTTGGAACATGTCCTTGAGTCTTTTCTCATCAATTCTCACTTTTTTTTCCATGTCTTTCGCAAAGGCGTCGCTTTTCTCTGCCTTCTCGATCGCCGTCTGCAGATTCTTCAACGCATTGCTAGCCACAAACGCTTAGCTCTCAAGCTTAGCAACCATTAACGAAATTTCGTCATTTCCCTTACCGTGCATCATCTAAGTCATTCTGGCCGCTGTCAGATATATCATCTTCATCGGACACTTCCATATCACTACCGAACGCATCGCTTATGCTCTCATGTCGGCCCGGACGAGATGGCCGCACGCTCCCTTTTGAATTTGGCCTTGCTCTTTTGGACTCAGCCTGGTTGGAATTTTGCATTGAAATGCTCCCTAACATCAGATAGGTCAGCCTTTGTTATCCATACATCATCTTCTGGCTTACCAGTACGCTTAGCCCGACCCATGGTCTATCTTCTCTGCCCTGCTCTTTATCTATCTTATGTGCAATACTCCTATACCAGCTAAGTAATTCGAGTATGAAGACTTTCGTTCCTATCGTCGTCCTTTAGATGGAAGATTGGACGTCCAAATAAGGTACTACCTAGATAGGCCAGGCGGTGTGCTTTCTGTACTTTCTGCCGCAGAATGAATTTATTTTAATTTCTATTTATTTTAATTAAACCGTTTGGTTTTATCCTTCTTTTTTTCTTATACGGCTCATTTATGCCCATCTCCCCCATTTTGCTAGCAAGAATCTATACACCATTCAGCGATCTCGAGTTCAGAGACGTAGAGCGACGATTGTTCCTTGTAGGCTAGCTGACCAATGAAATGGCTGCGATACGAGGCTATCATGTTGAGTTATTATATAATCAACTTTATTTTTGCAGCGCATTGGACTTTTGATAAAACTTCCATACTTGAACATTTGGAGACATCGATCGTATCTCGAATCAAGCTCCCGCATTCCAATATGGCGTCTTTACTAGGTGCACAATATGATTCCTCGAGTGACGATGATATGGGGACTGCGCCCGCTCAGTCAAACCCGACGCCTGCTATAGTTGCAGCTCCAGATGTCCCAGTAGAGGTTTGGTCTTCTTTGGTCATATTACTAGACCTCATGTCTATTATTTGACCCCGTTGCTAACATTTTCCATAGGGTCCTTCACAGTTGCACCTAATGCTGAGAAAACCAACTGATACGGCACTGACATATAATGCCACCTACGACGACCTCACGCGGCCACAAGCTGGTCCAGCGAACCCATTCAAGACTGAAAACTCCGGAGTTAAGAGAAAGAATGTATTGACCGGATACGCCGAAGAAGCCGCAATAAGCGAGGCAACCTTCGTCACCCAGCAGCGTACTTTCCAGAGCTTAGGCTACACCAAGGATCCAACCCAACCTGGGGCCTTTGTAGGAAACATGGAACAGGTGGCGCGCTATGGGGGTAAAGATGTGGTGCAGATGCGACCCTCCAAGGAGGAAAGTGCAGCTATACGGCGAAAACGACAAAAAAAAGGCGATTCGAGCATTGTTGAAGGCGAAGGGGCGTATTTAGGTCCTTGGGCAAAATATGAAGCCGATGAGATAGCTGACAGGGAAGCTGAGGCTCTGGCGGAATTGGGCAGCGATGAAGAATATATCGAAGAGGGGATCGTTCCGTCGAAAATGCCGGCAATGGATAAAAAGGCTACAGCTTATCAAGAAGATTTATCCCGCACGGAAACAACAGAGTTCCACGGTTCAGAAGAGCGCGACTACCAGGGCCGGACATATATGCATGTACCACAAGATCTGGATATCGACCTCAAGAAGGAGCCAGGAAGTGTGAAGAACTACATACCCAAGAAGCTGATTCACACGTGGAAATCCCACACGAAGCCCATCACCTCATTGCGCTTCTTCCCTAGTTCTGGTCATCTTCTGCTTTCATCCTCGGCGGACTCGAAAGTAAAGTTATGGGATGTATATCATTCACGAGAGCTTCTCCGTACATACTCCGGACATGCAAACTCAGTATCGGACACCACTTTTGACCCAACTGGAGCCACTTTCCTTTCTGCCTCATATGACAGACAAATCAAGCTCTGGGACACAGAGTACGGGAAATGCATCCAGCGCTTCTCTACTGGAAAAACCCCTCATGTTGTCCGATTCAACCCCGACCCTGATAATTCCCATGAGTTTCTTGCAGGCATGTCTGACAAGAAAATCATTCAATTTGATATCCGTTCCGGTGCTATTACCCAAGAATACGACCACCATCTTGACGCTGTCAACACAATCACCTTCGTTGATAACAACCGCCGTTTCATCTCCACCTCCGACGATAAGTCGCTTCGTGCTTGGGAGTACAACATCCCAGTACCTATCAAATTCATTGCTGAACCACATCTCTATGCCCTTGTCCGTGCTGCTCCACATCCTAACGGCAAATACGTTGCTTTCCAGTCTGGAGATAATAGTATCGTCGTCTATGGAGCAACAGATAAATTCCGTCAAAATAGGAAGAAATTATTCAGAGGACATAATAACGCAGGTTATGCCATTGACGTTTCAATCAGTCCTGATGGCCAGTTTGTCACATCTGGTGACAGTGGTGGATATGTTTGCTTCTGGGACTGGAAGACGGGCAAGATGTGGCACAAGATTGAAGCGGGAGGAAAGGAAGGTTCTGCGATTACATGTGTAGATTGGCATCCTCAAGAGACTAGTAAAGTGGCCACGGCTGGGTTGGAGGGAGTTATCAAATACTGGGATTAGTTGTATACTATGGTTTAATTCACATCGGGCATTTCCTGGCGTTTTGTATCATTTTTGGATCCGAACTATGCTACGCTATGCAACTATGATGGACTTTTTACCTCGTACTCGGAATATAGGCAAAATCTAAACATCAACGGCTACTTCTTGATCACTAGTAAGTCAAAACAGCTGATAATGAACATGAACATATTTTTGCTATAAGCCATCCGGAGAAGAACACCATGCTAAAGTAAGGGTATCAATGACATAATAGATACAGTAAGAGTAAAGACCAGGTCAACATCAAGTTCAACAAATACTCCAGCCCACGACGATATCTTTTGCTGCGTAGGATTAAAAAGTAGTCATATCAATCCAGCTTGCGACAAAACCAAGCCTCTTCCCTCTTTCTCCTTGCATCCGCATGGCAAATTCTTCGAAATTGAGCTTAGCTCCTGATCCGCCTCGTTCCTTGGCTTCTTGTTCAGCTAGATTTAATTTTGCCCAGCGGGATAGAATCTTCGGGGAGGGCGGCGGTGAGGGAAGCACGGCATTCTTCACAGAAGGGGTAGAAGATGAGGATGCTACGGATGAGCCCGAGTTACTTCGCGTACGATTTGGAGGCGGAGACTGTTGGAAGCGAAGCCGAAGGGGTAATGAGCGATTTCGAGACCTACGCTGGCTTGATAGGCGATGGTGAGAAGGCCCGGAAGTTGATGTTGACGTTGATGCAGATTCGTATATAGGGTGCGGCTCAGCAGAGTGTGGCCGGGGTGAGTGATGTGATCCATGGGGCATATGTTCTAATGCCACTAGGTCTTCCTCATTGGGTCGATTTTGTGGGAGGGTAGGGTCTGGAGGCAGAGGTATATTGTTCTCGGAAGACGATGGTGATTCGGTGTCACCTTGGAAATTATTGCTTTCAGGTGCAATGGGCATATAATCAACTTCATGATCACTCAAATGGTCAGATATCACGCTGCCCTCTTGCTGAGATGAATAAGCCTGATCAATGCCATCTTCTTCCTCGCGCTCGACTTCCTCAAGGAACTCTGGGTCGACTGAAAAACCGCTCTCTTGTAATAGGTCTTTTAGGGACCTGTTGCCAGCCGATTCTGGATCATTGGTGTCATCCCCATTTGGATTCCTGCGATCACAATTCTTAATATCCTTAACTCGATACCCTCTCTCCTGGAATCTTTCAATTTCCTTAGCCCATCGCTTCCGTTCTGTACGGGTACGGTAAGCTTCCATGAGGAGATCTTCCTTTGGCTTAAAGATGAGATCCAAAAGCTCGTTCAAGCCCTGCTGAGTGACTTGATAAAGAATCTCTTTGCCTGCATCCCTTTCCACTTCTGGAATTTCATAACCACCCCATCGTTCACCCAGTTGGATGCTGCGTGATGATGTAGATTGGTTTGAGCGAGTTTCATATTCGTTGTCTGTTACATCATCTTGGAAGCGAACTTTAGATGAAGACCTAGACCTTGGGGTAGGGTTATGCCAATCTGAGTCCTCATTACATTCTCCATCCGAGGCCGCTGCTTCATAGTCATCCTCATTTCCTTCGTACATTGGTCGTCCACTTGTGCCTTCTTCCTCCTCAAGGTAAAATGCCCGTCGCCGCCATCTCTCTTCAATGCCTTCTCGCCTGATATTCGACTGATGTTCCGCTTCTGCAGCATTTAGTCTCTCGATAAGACAGGTTCCGATCCTAGCCCTATCAACAAAGTCCGTTACATCCTCTAGGGGTACGTATGCCCCAAGAGCATTGATAATATCTTCACGTTGAACATGCTCGGCCGGGGGCCAGTTCAGAAAGTTCTCGCAAGGATAGGGGCCAGCACAGATAAGATCGAAGCCATCCCCATGATCAGTGGACGAGTCGCTTGGCCTAGGCCCATAGTATGGTCCCTGAGTTGTACTATCTGACCTTGATGGATCTCGCTGGCGATGGCGGTTGGGTCCAAGTGTATCTCTGAGAGCTGCATCACCTAGAACAATGTCCCTATCACCCGTTTCATCACCATCTTCTCTTACTACAGCCTCATTATCGATGACCTCTAGGTCACCCTGCAAATTCGTACGTTTGCCTTCACCAGCTCTGGATCGATCTGATCCAGGTATGGTTCCGGGAAATGCAGCACTGATGGGCTGACTTCCCAGTACCACGTCTCGAGAGCCGCTCTCCATAAAATCATCCTCTATTCCGGACATCATATCTCGAGTTAAGTCTCTGCTCAGGGTATAATATGCTCTGAATATACGTAGGAAATCTTTCCGCTCCACATAACCATCTCTGTCTATATCATAAGCTGCAAATATTCGTCTCAGCCGTTCGTGCATGCTCTTGTTACCAAAGCTTGCCAGACCCTTCAAGAACTCTTCGAACCCGATGAGACCATCACCGTTGGTATCGTAAAAGGAAAACATCCGATCATAGATAAGGCTTGGTGGAGGAGGCCGGTTAGGGATAAAGCACCGGTCAAATGTCTTTCTATCAATTGCCAGCGGAAGGCCGTTAGGCTCTTCGGGCCATTCAACATTTGCAAGGCATCTAAACTGGTCCCAAAGCGCATCGACTTCGGTATTCTCAAAATTCGTTTCCTTTTTGAGTCGCTTTGCTACATTTCTTGGTAGCGTTTGAGGAAGCATATTCGGCTTCCCTGGGTATAAAACTGGTTGGACCTGCTTTACACTTCCCAGCGATGGAGTTGGTATCCGGACTTTATAGAACAAATGGGTGAGAATATGAACTTGGGAGGCTTCGCAGGCCTCGCAAAGGTCATAGTCAATGCAGTTTGCACAGCGGTATCTGATCCCTTGGATTGGCATGACACCGCAACTGTTGCACGTTACTCCTCGATGTATATAGCCATCACGCCTTGCTTGGTCCTCAGCTATATGGTAGAGCAAATTAAGCAGATTTTGTCCTTCTCTCGGCGGAGCTGTGTCATTTGTACCGTCTCTCCATGAGAAGAGACTCTGATCATCTATGGTGGTGTCTCCTATCTCAGGCTGAGGTGGAGGAGGAGGGGTTTGTTCTGCTGGCATGGCATTGGTGTTCACCACCAAGTTTGCATCCTCCTGGCCTACGGGCCGTTCAGTGTCGGGTTGTTCACCAAAGTGTGGGTTCTCGTTAAACCGCGTAAAGGCATTGTTGACAGCAACCTCTGAAATTCCACGAGATGTAAGCTCATTAAGCAAATATCTCCATTCCCCAGTAGAGAGAAGAATGACATGCGATGGCGGAAACTCAGCTATCAGGAACCGAGTAAGAAATTCATCCTCTATCATATGGCGCATTAAGTTTGCGCTCTCCAGACTGGCTCCGATCTCCCGCTGTATGGTCTCTACGGATGCCAGCTGTGAAGGCAAAAGAGGGCATTGCAGAGTATGCTCGGCGTCAACCCGAAGTGTAAAATGGCCGTAACTTCTGCCTTCTCGTTCACGCTGAGCCAGCGCAAGCGAAGGAGCTAGCGGACTGGACGATTCATACGTCTCTCCGCTGGGCAGAGATATCCCACCCCGTCTCTGGGAATGTCTTTGGTGTCGCACCGCATTTCGCCTATGGAGGGTCTGGGAAGCTGCTGGCGAAGAAAAGAAATATCGATGGAGCTGCGTGAGGGCGAGAGTGCCGGCAAACGCAGCGACAATGAAAAATGTCCGGCGGTAGGTCAGGGCAGAGGTCCCGTCGATAGAGGAGGGAGCGTTAGAGGACGACATTCTCGACAGCGGTGGATGGCTAGAGGGAGCGAAGCATGGCCGTCATATCTCGCGATATAGCATATCCTCCAAGCACTTGCATGCGACTGTGTAGCTGTTGTTCTGATTAGCATAGAGATGTTGTTGCGGTTGAAGATTTGGCACGGCAGTTTGAGTTACGTAGCTGGCGGTGCTGTCACTTTTTCAAGGCGTAGTTAGTTAACTAGTTGACTTGTTAGTTAGCTTGGACAGGAGATCCACTGTGCTAAAGTTAACCTACGTCTAGCTATATTAAACCACCATGTAATGAATGGATACAGATGTTTAGATGAATCTAGCTGAAGGAGCATTTATTATCATCATGCTCTGGGCCGTTCGAAGGAGTAAGTTACTTTTCTAGTGGCAAGCCAGGAATTAAATGCTGATCCACGGTTGAACCACGGATAGCAGAGATGATGCAGCGGTTTTCATCCTCAATCAAAAATCCATAAACTAATCCTCTCCTCTACTACTCGAAAGATGAAGTGCGGTTGTTATTTCACGCAAAAAAGATCTCCTTGGTAGTCAATAAAGACTGTGAAGTGCTGTTAGACACTACGCGTATGAGTCTAGCATGGTTACTGAGACATCCGATGATGGTGACTATCCATGGAAAAATGATCTGCTATAATTTCATCTGGATTTTGGGATATTGCATTGTGTATATAGGATGGCGGTATAGTACGGCTCTCCGATTTACCAGGAATATTGGCAAGTAGAGATGATTAGTCTGTCAAATCGTTTGTCATTGATAACATGTATTTGAAGGATTATACGGATACAATAGACGGACTTAGCAGGCAACTGGGAGACGAACGAAGAACGAAGAGATGCAATCCAAAATCAGCTAAATAGGATTTATTCTTTCCCAAGCTATCCTAGTCAAACGGGGGTATAGTGTGAATATGATAATCACAATCTTATTCGCATTGTACCTTACAGCTGACAAACATACGAAGCGAAGGTCAGGGACACAAAAGCCATGGAAAAGGTATTTTCTATAATTTTTAACTGAGACTCTGGAGGAAATGATCAACCCGAAATATGCCTGATGATCTAGTTTAAAAAAGTGAACGTCTAACAGAAAAGCCTGAATATCCTACCTTTTAAGGAACAGTCTTCTATTTCAAACCTTGCAGCCGACAGTGATCTATGCGCTTAACTTTTGTTCTCGGATGAATACAGCGCTGATAAATGATAGGAAAACAAGAATGGTCATAAAGCCAAACGCCGTTGTCGTTGAACGGCCATAGCAGTCTCTAACAACTTCCCTTAACTGTGGGTTAAGGTGTTTGATGTAGTCAAGACTCTGCCTGACCCCGTCCACAATCTCATCGATGTTCTTATTTCCCTTGAGTGCAGAACGCAGGGAGCTCCTGAGGAATTGCTGGACAATGCTGGCAGAGAGAGATATCGAGATGACTGACCCTAGCGATCGGAATAGATATGAACAGGCAGTGGCGACAGCTTGGTCTTCAGGGGAAGCATTTGCAACTAGAACAGTTAGCGGTTGTTTTCAAGTGCAGAGGGTATGGAATTGGTATATACTTAATGCAATCAGTGTTGTTGTAACCCCAATGCCGTTTCCAAATGCGCACATGGTCATGCCGATGATTATCATCGGGGTGCTATTGGCTATGATACCAGAGAATACGGTAATCACAACAAGGCCAATAACCAACAAAGCATATGAGTAGAAGGTGATCCAGTAATATTTACCGGTCCTCTTCATCAACCAACCCCCGAAAAGTGATCCTGATACTCCCAGCAGGATGGATGGTAGAAGCTTAATTCCAGCACTGGCAGCAGAGCTACCATCACTAGCCTGGAAGAATAACGGGATATAGAAGATGGCAGCAAGCCATCCACCAAAACTGAAGAAGTTGGTCAGGTAGCATGCTACTAAATCACGGCCGAATGTGATGTGGAGGGGAGCAAATGGAGCGACGGCGAATCGGGCCTCGACGACCATAAACAGAATGAATGCCACTGCAGATACAGACAGCGATATGATCGTCAGAGGCATGGTCCAAGAAACATTCCCTCCTCGGTCTAACCCAAGGATGAGCCCAAAGACGGCGACAACGAGAACAAATGCTCCAATAAAATCAACTCGCTTTAGCTTCTCTTTCCAGTTTGACTGATCTGTTGTCGGCATTTTTAGGGTGAGCCCTACGACAACAAATGCAAGTAAACAGCAAGGTCCTTGGGCAAGAAAAGCCCTAAAAAAAAGGAGATCAGTAGGTGAGATGGAATTCCGACACAAAGTACAAGGCAATGAACATACCAGCGCCATCCGATAGTATCCGCTAGAAAACCACCTTTATACCATTAATGTTAGCTCCAAGGTTTAAGCAATACCACTGCGCCGTAGCTTACCTAGAGGAGCTCCGAGACCAGACCCAGCGGACCAAACGATATTGATGACACCTTGCCATACACCACGGTCTCTCAATGGAACAATATCGCTCATGATAATGCTGACCACGGTCGATAAACCACCTCCTCCAATGCCTTGGAACACCTAACTCTCAATAAATGAGCCAGTGACACTTACCTAGTGGGTTTCTCTAGAGGAGAGGGAACTTACCCGTGCAGCGATCAACTGTTTAATGTTCTGGGCCAATCCGCACAATACGCACCCCGTGCCGAAGATAGTATACCCAAATAATAGACATGCTTTTCTTCCGAATATGTCACTCAGGCGGCCATACAACGGTTGAAAGGCGGTCAGCGATAGAAAGTACGAAGTAGCAATCCAGCTGGTCAAATTAAGAGCATGGAGGTCACTGCCAATTTTACCGTAGCTCGCAACGATAATAGTCTGATCAGCGGATGAAAGGAAGACCTAGTTGTATGACTCGTTATTAGCCTGATGAAGGTCTGAGGTAACATTGAATGGATTTGTACTCACTCCGATGGTGATTGCCGGCACAATATACTTGAGACGCTTCTGCAGCTCCGGAACGCCCTTGAACTGAGCAATTCTTGCGTCATCAATCCCATTAACACCGGCTGTCTCCTCATCTGGCTTTGGCTGCCCATTGCCAGCTCCTATTCCCGCGGTCGACGGGCCGTTTAACGAGTCATTCACCGCTCGGGTACCTAGCAACGGCGATGTCTCAGTTGCTGGTGTGTGAGAATCATCGTCAGCAAGATGCGATGTCCTCATTGTGACGGCCACAGTCTACGTACAGTCCTGACACTCCAGTTAGAAAGTCAGAAGTCACACTCACTCTCTTCAACGAAGTTTTTCCCGAAGTCGGGCCTGGCGCCTCAAGACGCTTTAAATATGTTTAAGCAGCGCCAAAGCTGCTCGGTAAGCAAAAGTGGGGCCGGCGCAAGCCCCGCTTCGAGCCTTATCCGGCGGCTCGTTATTATCCAGAAGGACGACCAACCAGAACCGAGGAATTGCTGAGCTTTGTTGCGGGTAGCAGCTAAAGGCCGGGACTCTTCAGCGTGTAATTCAGTCGTTATATCCATCTTGAGTTGGAGCTGACCTGTGTAACAAAGTTCATTTCCACGTTATTCTAAAGCAGACGGCTCCGCGGCAGATAAATACCTAGCACGTGACAATAACAGCGCTAATGGAAACTTTGCGGCTAAATAGCTCATAGCACGTGCCACTTACAAAGAGAGCTCCTGGAAAGGATATCGAAGTAATAGTTGTTGAAAAAGGCCATGCGAGAGGCGGAATCTATTTTTTTTTTCTCTTTCTTGTCGTCCAAAAAGAGCATTCTAGATAGTAGAAAAAGGCTTATTTGATATTCTTCAGAAACACGATTAACTTTGATACGGGAAGGCGTGACTCCGAAATTCTAGCTCGTCACGCCCTATGAAGCAGCGGCTGGCATCGGTATCGCACCGCCCGGCGAATCTGGGAGCCTTGCAGTAAGGACATCGACACCATCCTCTGTCACTAGAAGCGTATGCTCAAACTGAGCTGATCTCTTCCCGTCTATGGTAACACTTGTCCAGTTGTCGGGCCATGTTTTGTCTCGATAACTTCCGAGATTGATCATGGGTTCAATAGTGAAGCACATCCCTGCTTTGGCTGACCCCACAGTTTTGCTTTTAGCGTAATGCGGGATGCTTGGGGTAGTGTGGAATAGCTGGTTTATTCCGTGGCCACAATAGCTCCTGACAACGCTGCAATCCCGGCTCTTGGCGTGCTTCTCGATCACATTCCCAAATTCTCGGAATAGGGTTCCTGGTTTAACAATTTCAATCGCTTTGTCCAAACATTCCCTTGAAGTTTCTACAACTCGAACCGCATCAGGGTCTGCCTTGGCTTTGTCGCCGACATAATATGTTTCATTGAGATCGCCGTGGAATCCGCCATGGTAAAGCGAGATATCGATATTTAGAATATCACCGTCTTCTAGGGGTCGTTGGTCGGGGATACCGTGACAGATAACTTCGTTCACAGAGGTGCAGACGGATTTGGGAAAGTTCACATAGTTTAGTGGTGATGGATAAGCCTGGAAGACAGTCAGACAGCCGGTATATCGAAACGAGAAAGACTCTGTATCACTTACCTCTCTTTCTAGACAAGCTTGATGCACAACTTTATCAATGTGGTCAGTGGTGACACCTGGTCGAATTTCTCGAGCGGCAATATCCAGCACCTCTCTTGATAACCGGCACACCTTCCTCATCCCCTCTATTTCTTTTTCGTTGAGTATTTTGATGTTGTGTCTCCCGAATATTTTTTGTTCTGAGCGTGGAACTCCATCTGCTGCATAATCGGGGTGCTGGATCGAGCTAGGGACAGGGTTCTTGGGAGAAAGGGGATACACAGGTCGTAGACTACCCGTAAAAGGGAATGTTGGGAACGGGTTGAACGTTTCTGAAAAATGACCGTTAGACCAGACTAAGTCCTGATGACAATATCAATCACATAATCAAAATATTTCCTCACCCTTGGACTTGTGGATCGCCTTGTGCTCACCCTGTACGTTAAAGGTCAGCAACACCCGAGTTTAGAGGAGCCGGTCTCAGCACCTTGTGAGACAGTACGGAAGCGTACCCAGCTACGCTTAAAGCAGTCCTGGGAGCAGAAGTAGCTTTCAATCCCAATTTTAAGACACGCTGGACATCGTAGACTTCCTGCTGCCTGACTGCAATCCACCCCGCTACAATGTTTGTTGTCTGGAGCGCTCATATCTGCTGTCTAACAAATGGAACACAGATTTGGAATACAGCTCCTATCTGCGACTAAAGGCCAGGTTCGAAGAGAAAAGCCTATTAGTGCTTCTTTCCTAGAGGAAGTGATCCCGTCGTGGTAAAGCAGCTGGTCGTTCGGTTGTCCAATTCTCCGCGATCAAGATCTGCAGCTTTTTTCTTCGCTTCCTGGTTACTAAGCGACGACGCTTAAAATAGTTAGCCGCGCGATAATTATTACTCCTTTCGGACAGTTAACTTCAACGCCTCGCCTTGTGCAAAATACGGAATAATATACTCCTTAAACTCCTCAAGGACAGCAAGCACAGATAACTTTCATGCAGGTGATAAGCGTGGATGGATTGCGTTGCGCCGCGCTTCAACTAGGAATTCATAGGCTCGCTGCTCCGTATTTAAAGTAGGTCAAACCTGTCCCTCGTTGATACTTTCCGACTCGATGTGACCAAACTCCCCGTCATAATAAAAGGCAACACTGGACACACTTGTAATGTCAAGTTCTTCAAGGCCGAGCATGTCGCTGACACTCTGCAAATCCAGTTTTGTCTCCATGCAAGTGAGAAACTCGTGAAAGAAGACGGCTCCTTGGGACAACTGCGTGGCGTTTCTTACATAACCGAATTCCACGTCGTTGATTCGCAAGAGCCATCCCGGCCCAGGGGTTGCGCCCTGTTCCGCCCGCCTGCCGTCCAGCCACATACATTTTTCGGGACTCATCAGCAAATTTCTTTCAACGCCTTGGATCTTCACAGCGCGTGCCTGGCTAACAAGAGAGGTGCCAGTGGTGTTACATACAGTCCCGACCAAGGTTTCTCAGAGTTCTGTCGCAGAGCGATACAACCAAGTTCTGTGTCACATCAACCACAGCAAAGAAAAATATTCCGTGGTCTCAAGGGGTCGATGTCCGTTCATAAACGAAGCCAATGGAATTACTAATATTGCCCCAGATGTTTGTTATTTAACTACGGAGCAATGGATATTTAGCCCCGTAGACAAGACGCCTTCTGGAGCAAATCCCCCAACTTTGCCAACACGACTCTCATTTTCGGCGACATACGTCAAAAACGACGGCTGTCAAACATGCAGAAGGTGGTGATTGTAGGGGCCGGTCCCGTCGGCTCGCTGGCGGCTCTCTACGCTGCTATGAGAGGCGATAGTGTCGAACTCTACGAGCTTAGAGGAGGTACGTGTTATTAAGCTGCCATTGTTTCTTTCATCGAATGAAGTGTATTTTCTACAGCGGGAGGAAGTCATGTCGATCTATTCAATGGGAGAGGGCTTGTCGCTGGATCTAGTGAATATGTTGCCTTGTTTTTTAATCCCGCAGCGCCCCCATACCTTTTTTAACAATGTTCATATTATATTGCCTTTGGCAGTTGACTTACAGTATGGTTAGATCCGCGCGATGAAGCCACTGTTCCGTTAAATTTCACAAAGTCTATCAACCTTGCTATATCCGAGCGTGGATTGAATGCGATGAGATCCGCCAACCGGCCCGGATTTGTCGAAACCGTCTTGAGCGAAGCAATTCCAATGACAGGTCGCATGATTCATGGACGTAGCTCCACAGGCACTCTATGGGAGGCTTCTCAGGACTACGACGTCCATGGAAGAGTTAGTTGTTACTACCTACTCTGTTTGCCATGAATTGCAGGCTTATATTTTCCCATCTAGTATATAAACTCAATTGACCGGGGAAAACTCAACACAACTCTCCTGGATGAGCTGGAGAAAGAGCCAAACGTCAAGTTATTCTTTAATCACAAACTTACAGGCGCTGATTTCAAAAATAAAAAAGCTTGGTTTGAGCGAAAGAACCCCGGAGATACCCCCGGATTTAGATCTACATCCAACGGTGATGACAAGTCCATTAACCTCACCCGTGCTCCGGAGCTGGAGGTGCCATTTGATTTCCTGATAGGCGCTGATGGGGCTCACTCCGCGACAAGATATCACCTCATGAAATATACCCGCATGGACTATCGACAAGAATATATCGACTGTTTATGGTGCGAATTCTCGATTGCACCCTCCAACGATAACGACTTTCAAATTTCTCCACACCACCTGCATATCTGGCCTGGTGGTGACTTTATGTTTATCGCGCTTCCGTCTCCTGATAAAACATTTGTTTGCACCCTATTCGCTCCTGCCGAGCACTTTGCAACTCTAGAAAGTGATCCAAAAATCCTCCTCAAGTTCTTCCAGACCCATTTCCCTGGCGTCTCTCCTGGGTTGATTCCGCCTGAAGATCTTATCAAGCAGTTTAGCACAAATCCTCACCTCCCATTGATCAGTCTCAAATCTTCTCCTCATCATTATGGCTCCAGTGCTGTCATACTTGGCGATGCCGCCCACGCCGTGGTCCCATTCTACGGACAGGGGCTTAATGCAGGTCTTGAGGACGTTAGGGTACTTTTTGAATATCTAGATAAACAGGGTGTATATTCTGCGTCTAGTGCAGATAATAGCCCACAAATCGCATCGCTTCGTGCAAAAGCGCTCGATGCCTACTCCCGCCAGCGCATTCCTGACGCCCATGCCATCAACCATCTTTCCAGGGAAAATTTCATTGAAATGAGAGCAGGTGTGAAATCACCAGTGTACCGGATGAGAAAAGCTCTTGAGGAGGCGCTTTACAAGTACTTTCCTGGGCTTGGTTGGTCTACACAATATGCTCGTGTTAGTTTCAGCAACGACCGCTACTCGGAGGTAGTAAAGGCCACGAAAAGACAAACAAATGTCCTCAGCAAAGCTATGCTTACAACTTTTGTTTCTTTGGTTGGCTTCTCCACCATCGGCTTATGGAAATGGCCATGGTCTAGAGATATTATTACTAGAATGTTACATGCTTCAACTCGAATTGCTAAAGGGATAGAGAAATCCTTGGCCTAAAGAAGAGCAATGTGCGAGGCGTTCTTGCTAAATTTTTTGGTGCTCGCGTTCTCGGTGTGATCTTTTTGTCATGACCACTTTCTCCTGTGCTTTAATGTAGAAATAGATAGAAGAGCATTATTGTATCAACATACTTTAATCCGCAACAGAACCAATCTCGAAAAATAACAACATACTCCGTCGCTCATGACCATATGCCATTGGGCCACGTATTCAACGGATAGCCAAATCATCACAGAAAAAGGATGCATATTCCCAAGATTGCGCTATAATAGGAAAAGAGCAAACTCGATGCTAATGGTAATCAATGTGAAACGTAATCCGTGTTTAAGGAACGCTGTGAACGCCATTTGCTGTTCAGTAAAATATCTAGAGCCAGAGGCATTCATGCCAGGCAACAAAAATGTCAATCAAAAGTCATTATTTAGGGAAAGAGCAGGTGGAGGGGGGAAACACAGGCTTTGGTATATATATGCACAAATAATGGTTCGTTCCCGATTAATCCCTGAAATAACAATAAGTGATAGAGAATGATGCAAGAGGGACAGGAGGAAGGGACAGGAATACCCAGGTTTCAGGTGGGTCATTGGATAATCCCAAAAATCGAATTCCAGGAAGACAACGGCAGGACGTCCATTTCCGGCTCCCTGATGGTATGAAATAACTCAAACTCCATATGTGGTGAAATTTCCCGTCGATTCAACAGCGTGGGTAAAGGAAAAGTGGAAAAAAAAAAAAAGAATGTTGGATGGGGCGGGAACATTTTGCCATAAAATGGGCAATATATGGCTTTCATGAAAGCTATACTTCATGGAAATGAGGAATAAGTGGGTAAAGTCATAAGGAGTTGGGAAAAGTGACTATTCATGTTCGTATAATATACGATCAGCCGCATGCCCAATTAAAAGAAACTAGGAGTATGATTCCGTCGCTCATGAATTTGCCTTTCTGTTCGGGAATACAAGAAATCAAAATATTCCATCGCAGGGGCGTCTTTAAGTATTTTAGCGACCTGTGTTCCGGCAGATATAAGTTGCAAGATGTTTCGATCATCTCTCAATGGGCGCGACTGGTTCTTTGCTGTGTGGCGCATCTCCAGGGAGTTCTCGAGCACAGTGATGAACTGTTTTATTTGGCCATCATATAAAACGCGCGCAGGGATGCGGCGCTTAGTTGCAAGCCTCCTAAGTAAGTGGACCCATTCAGTCCATTCACGGTCCTCTGGGGCTCTTACTTCTGATTTCTCAGGCTCCAGTGGGATTGGGAACTGGTATTTGGCCACAAAGTCAAAAGCGCACCGGGATAAGCGGTCGTTGATATCACACAAAATTTTCACTTGTTCCTGTACATTCAATGAGGTGGGCAGATGTGGCAGGTCCTTCTCCGGAATTTCAGTAGCTGCTGGGCCTGGGCTAGGCATCCTGAGCAGTTGTGTTGGTCCGTCAAACTCATCCCTGTTCCCGGGCTTTCGCCTCAAGTGGAATCTCGGGATGGAGTCCACATGTTCCTGGTTATTCATCTTCTTCATACGCCCCATAGAATGATCAGACTCCAAAGAAAGGGGCATTCCAGGATCAGATAGCCTGGAATTGTGATAAGACATGAACGGATCTTTCGAACCGTTACTAGAGTTTTGTCGCGGTAATTCGCCAATTGGTTCCAGGGCTATAGGGGGGTGGATGGTGGAGTATCGATCGTACGTCGTAGGTGGAGTGGTAACCATACCTCGACCTGTGAACACATCGAGCGGCCTACCAGGCCCGGGCTGCTGTCTTTCTGGGGAAGACATTTCTCCGTGGTCTCGGGGCGAAATATCCCAAGGTGGTGAAATTCTAGCTCCATTAATAATCCGATGTTTAGCTACACTCATCGTACGATACCGGATGATATAAAATGTTCTCTTGGTCCGTACCTTGCGTTTCGTATCTCTGGTGGCCATGGTAGGTCTGAGTAACAAGGAATTTCGCGCTCTCTGTTTAACAAACTGGGACTGTTCGAATTGAATAAGTCTTTGATTCCGCTAAGCTTGATGCCAGGCTCCAGTGGGGAGATTCAGGACTAACCTGCGAAAAGGAAATGTGGCCGCATTGTTCCTTGGGGGATAGAACATTGAATCATTCTCCCGAAGGCTACCTGGGGATAGAGGAATGCTTCCTGGGTATGCCATTCTCTGAGGAAACACAAGCAACGTTATCAAGCCAAACCCAGCGAGCCATGCAAGGGCTATAAAAAGGAATGGGAATTAATTCTATATAGATTGTCGAACGCCTGCACCGAGCCAAAGAAAAGGAAAGGAAAAAAGGAAACACAGGAGACAAAGGCTTGAATCTAGATAGTCTTGATGTTCACACCGCTAATTCGCGGAGTTGGGCCAGGAAGAGGCGCAACAAGCCATCGGGGGTAAGTAAGGCAGCGGATAAAAGTAATCAATGTCTTTCTTTTCCAAGGAGATGACGGGTAAAGATCGTTGGTTAATAATGTTTTCCTGCGGCTTGGGTGGCCGGCTGGGTGGGAAACAGAGCTACGAGCAGTATAGCTTAGAAGGCGAGCAAACGGCTCCACGTACACGTCTGTCGTCTCACTATTTTTCTTTTCATGGGCATTATATGAACCTATAAATCCCGGAATAGGGCCTTGCAGTTGACACGACCCAAACTCAAAAAATGGCGCCCCGCACCACGAGAATGCGCCATCTGGTCTTCAGTAAGCCGATGACTGAATTTCGATCGAAGAGGCAGATGCAAATTAACAAGGAAACAAGCATCACATGGTCAAATGGGAGCCAGAGGGAGCAATTTTTGGGCATCAAAGAGTGTGGGCGGAGAGGGTCGGCCGCTTTGAACAGCCAATACCGTGTTCAACAAAACCGTTTCTCTCTTCGCTGTATTCTGGGCCTATGGACCGGGAGATGGAAGCTCCTAGTGGTCGCCGTGAAAATAGCTTGTTAAATGCGGGCGTCTGTCCGTCTCGTTGAGCTGTCCCTTGCTATGTAGGTTTAAACCCCTTGGAGACAAGAAGTCAACATGGAGAAAGGCAAGGGAAGGCCATGAAACCGTTGGCTGCCGGACGAATCCCATCTGCACGCAAGCCAGGTTGCACATCGTCAATGAATGCAGTGAAGCATTGAACAAGGCAGGCCCACAGCCTATAGAGATTGGGCACTTTCTCGGTCCGTCACCACTATGGGGTTAGGGAGATAGGCAATGGACCGCCAATTTTAGATCAGAACGGCAATGCAACCCCTGGATCTGCGAGGGTGGTGCTAAGCGGTGCAAAGAATTAGTATACTGTTCATCGGGGGGGAGTTGGGCATTGACGCACATCCACATCACTCGCGTTGCGTTGCGGCCCAATGTTTTTTTCCCTTGCCGGCACAGAGCCAACTTCTGCATGGTCCCGTTCAAGCGATATGCTTGCTCTGTTGGCGTTCTGCTAGTGGCCTGTCAGCAAAAAAAGACGAAATCTGGCCTGAACAACTGCAGTTGGTGCGAGCGAATTGGTCCAACGACGTTGTGCAGTTTGACTCGTATCACAATCCCGCATGACTGTGGGGTGATTACTTCAGGCGGCTAGTTTCCCTCAAGGCAGCTTGGGTACAAGAGAGTCATGATGCTGAGCTCTGTTTTGGATTTATGACGATAGAATAATATGTTTTCTAAGGCTGAATTCTTCCATACAATAGTCCTCCCGTCGCCATGGTCAGCCAGGTTTGTGATCCAGCCGTGGATATAATTAATCGTGATAATATAGGCCCGGATGAACTAGGATTCCAGGCTCCAAATGACCCAAGGTACATCGAGAAGGACCTGCAGGCTATGAAGGTGGCTGGTAATGAATTGGCCGGCTATTTACGTAGACATTTCACAAATGACCTGCTGTCGACTCTTGTTGGTTGGCTGGGCGTTTTATGCTAGGACTGAGCCTTTCGGCGTGTATACTTTGTGTGTCTGTGTCTCGTCCTATACAGGGTCCCCAGCGCCTTGCAAATAAGAATTCTGTCGAATATCTCCTTTACCCTGTCTACCAGGACATACGCTGCCATCTCTGGTCAAGAATGCGTCTCTTCAGGGCATCTTCAGACCTCGGCCGACAACTAGCTACCTTGTTCTCCAGCCCAACAAGAGCAGGACCTGCAGCTTTCAGAGCCTGATTCTTCTCAGTGGCCACTTTGTCGGAGCTCCTAGGATAGCCTTCTCCGTTGATCAGCTTTGCCGGGGGAGGGGTGCAAGTTGGATTGCATTCCCTGCTCGGTACTCTGCCTGCACATATATATCAATCCTTCCTGCAGGCTGTCCTGCTATCGCCTCACTCTGAGCTGCAGGTCACAGCCATTCTGTTTGATGTCGGTTTGAATTCCAGCGCCAGGGCTCAGCCCGCCCTGCCCTGTCCGTGGGAGGAGACATGAAAGGAGAGCCTGCGGGGACCCGACAGCTTTCGGCTTTTGTAACCATTTATTTAACACCAATTTGTCCTTTTTTGCCATTCACTGAGACGACGCTGAGAGGGATGTCCTCTTTCAAACCTGACGTTCAGCCAGTCCGTCGTGATGATTCCTGGGCCCCTCAATGGTCACGTGGGAAACCTGCGACGACGAAGAAACGACAACAGCCAGTTTCACGCCTGGATCAGATCTATTGCCACGTTGGTTACCATTTGATTGCGGTCTGTAGGGCAAATTTGTGCTTGGAGACTTACTTAACTGTACAGATGAAGCCCTTGCAAGAGAGCCACGGTAGTTAAGTAGGTAAGCCACACTGGTGCCGAGAAGCCCAAAAGCACAATCCCAAATGGCAAGGAGGATATTAGGTACGGTATGGCCTGGAGATCAAAAGGACTATTGGTGTCGAAATGAGATCTGCTTAATGCACGGGAACAAATCTATGAAATTCAGCCCGCTGTCGTCTACGTTAACTCGGGTGAAAACGTGAAAACTTCCGAACAACGATCTCTCCCCAGAATCGTCGATATAATCTCTCATCCCGTCGATTCTAGACCTGCCTATAACGAGTTTGACAAAACAAGTCAGAGATGCAAGCAACACTGGGAGGGGGAACGGGATGATCTTCGATGTCCTGGAGCGTTGGCGTCGACTGCATAGAATATGAACTCTCTGGCAACGGCGAAGCCCAATAATACCTGGAGAAACAAGTTGATAGCTTAGAAATCCGCTTGCTCAGGCGGTATTTCAACCTGTCAGGTTGTCTCTCCACCAAAGAACCAGCCTTGAAGTTCCGGGTTGTAAGCTGTCGTTTGGAGGAATGTTACTGTCTAGAACTGTAGTATCTTGATACCAGGTTGTGCCTGGAAGATAGTTTCAGTGACTGCTAGCAAGAGCCCCTAAGCGATACTAAACCAAACCTGGTATTCAGAAGGTTATACCCACAATATCAACCTTGAGCCCGCCGGGGGAAGGGTAAACTTCCCTCAAAGCTATTAGCTTTCGCCCATAAATGACAGACTCGCTTCTAATACAGTGATAAGAAACAGGAGCAACACGGGAAGAAAAATCACATATTGATACGTTCATTCGTTATTATATATATATTTGGTAGACTATGAATACATGGATATATGTATTAAACGACATATAACAACGCTCCAACGCTCCAAAGCTTCAAAGTTCAAAATTCAAAATTTTTAGACATCATACACCCTAGGGTTCAATGTTCCCAGAGTCTTTTTCCTTATATGTGTCAATCACATTGGTTGCTACCTCTTCGCTGAACACATCTACCTGGGTAGAAGCAAACTTCCGTGCACTAACCCCACGCTCAAATAGGACGTCGAGCTCGGCAAAGGATCGTCCCTGAGGTTCCGGGAGGCGGAAGTAACTGTAGACGACGCAGCAGAAGCAGATGCCTCCCCAGAAGAAACCGGCATAGTTACCCCAGTCCCATGCGCTAGGATTGAGCATGAAAGGAGTCAAAACGTTGCATATAATTGCAACAATGTTGTATAAGTTTCGGCCTAGCACAATGGTCTTGATCTGGAGTCTCCGTGTTGAAAGTTCGGACACAATCGAATAGGTAACCGTGCCAACAGAGAGCTGATAGAACAAAGCCCAAACGATCATCATACTCCCGGTAGCAAGCGATCCCGCGTTCCTGTGTGACTGTGGCACCAGGCCGAGGAATCCCATAACCATCAGCATGGTGCAAAGGCCACATAGACCAGCAAGGTAGAGGGTCCTCCGGCCAATCCCGAAGGACATTAGGCCCCAAGCACCAAAGACTCCAACCATATTAATAGCGTACTGCCCCATAGCAAACGAGTAGGCATGAGATGAGGACAATCCCGCCTGTTCCAGGAAGTACGTCGAATAATTCGAAAAGGAGTTGCCGCTAAGGTTCTGCATAGCCCAGGCCATGCATACGATTTCCGTCCGACGTAGGTCTGTTCCCTTAAAGCAGTCCCAGTAGGTGGCTCCACGTGTAATTTTAGCCTCCAAAGCTGTTGTATGAAGCATCATCGCAATGGTCTCATCGGCGTTGAAATCACTCTCATCACTCCGACTAGTCAGCCGGAGAAGCGAGCGTTTCGCATCTGCAATGCGACCCTTCCTGACTAACCACCATGGTGATTCTGGGGCCATGTAAATTGCAATTGCGAGGGGTAATGGCCACATCCACTGTAGTGCATAGGGTATTCTGAAGGACCATTCATCTTCTCGATCCAACATTGACCGGATTACTCCTATGCCTATGAGCTGCCCAAGTCCCCAGCAGAGATTAACATAGGTTGTCAGGTAACCACGTAGTGCTACGGGGCACACCTCGGAGGCATAGGTGATGGTAAGGGTCTGGAATACACCCCACGGAATGCCACAGAGGATTTCACCTGCAAGAAGAGTTTGTACGTTCTGAGCGGTAAAGAAGAGGGATATAAAGGCAGCCAACCAGGCCAGAGATCCCAGGATTGTCCACCGATAACCAAAGCGTTCCGAGACCCAACCATTCAGGAATAAGCCGAATATCTCACCTACAGCTGCACCATTGCTGAGACCAGCTTGCCACTAAGTAATAATTAGTATACTAGACTCGAATTGTCCGTATCGAAGAAGGTTTCCTAGTAAACATACAGGCGCTGGAACTTGGTAAGTCCCATCTTCTAGCGGTACTCCAAACTTTTGGTTAAATTGCCTAAAAGCATAAAAGTTGCTTATCAAACTGATGTCGTAGCCTTCCATGACAATGCATGTTGAGATCAAGATGCTCCATGCTAGTGCTTTCGGATAGAGCCTTATTCCTTGCAGCAGCGTCATTTTTCGTTCCTTGTCCGTGGCAGCTTTCGCATTCTGAAAGACATCTGCAATCGGCGCATTTTCACCATCACTCTCTCCCACTGACAATCGAGTCGAACCAACATTGATCGCATCGATATCTTTCTTTTCAGACGCCATTTCTACCCCGGGATGGTTTATTCGTTCTCGTCCTACACAGTCTGATAGTGTCACAGATAGGCACGTCAAGTTTTGCTGTTGCTGAGCCGTGCGCGTGTGGATGGGAGAGGGTCAATATTTCGTTCAGGTCGACATTAGAGACATTATCCGGTATGTTGTATGGGTATGGATTGTACGGGGTACTAACTCTGCCGTCCTGGAACCGGCTGCGAAGATTAATCCAGCAACACGCGAGCGCAGGCTTCGTCGACGTCCTCGCCCGGGGTTTTATATAGCGAGAGCCGGAGCTCGCTTTGCGGTGGGGAAGCCTCGGCCGCTCTGGTGGGATACGAGGCCGATAATTAAATCGTCACACTCAACCTGGCTGAACGGACGCAATGGGAGAACATTCTCGAAGCAGCTCTTGTGCTCATCTCCGTTGCATTCGAGAGAATGCATTCAGCTTATCTTGCGCCGAGCTTGGGGTGAGCGAGCTTTCCCCTTTTTTCCTCGCCGGTTCGCGAGCATATTTTTTGCCTTTTAGGGTGGAGGAGAAAAATTAGCCAATCAGGTGCCAGAAAGCTCGATAAAAATGCCATTGGCAGAAGCTGCTAGATACATAAAAACGGGGATACGGAGTAAAAGATGGGCACTTTGGCAGGTAAGAAAAGAAATTCAGGTCAAAGGGAGGTCCCATGACTATATCATAAGATTGCATGGTGTCCTTACCAACTGGGGCTAGATAGAAGAACTATTGACGAGGTTGGGGGACCTAGGAACAGAGAAAATGCGGTCAAGAACAATATTGCATACTCAGTGCATTATCGTAGCTTTCCTTGAAGACAATTCGACATGGCGTAGTCTGAGAGAGAGACACACATAATAATACATTCAACTGAAAGGGCGGATCAAGTGATCTATATACACAATCCATCAACTCCGTTCCCATGCCAGAAAGAAACCATGGCGTATGATACAACCCACCTAAACAGCACGACAGAGAACGAGCCCTCCAATTTTCTTTTCCACGCACTGCCGGGACTCTAGAATCCCACAATCTGTACTCAGGAACAAACACTCACCAGGGTTCCTCAACCCAGCGATGGTGCGACTTTTTGACCCTCTGACAATGTCCCGCAATGCTTCTGTATCCACGTATATCCGCCGAGTAGGCTTGCTGACCATTGATAGTTTGGAGAGAACTGGCTGGCTCTGCCAGTACTTGAGGCCTAGCCATAGTCTTCTTGACGCAATATTGGCTTGGGTCACAGGTTCGATTGGTTCTAATTCGTCATTGACTGCAGGTATATTCAGCAACATGTGCTGTGGTGGTGGTGTTGGTCCTCCTCGAACGACAGATGACAAGAAACCGGCTTCGACAAGGGCATTGGAAAGTGCGAGATGCAGATTCGAATTCGGGATAGACGTTAGAGCCAGTCGAGCCTTGCTGGCATTTGAAAGATGTGAACAGACGTGTGCGAGATTGACGAGCGACATCGTAGCCTGCTCTGAAATGTGTGCCGATATTAAAACAAGTAGGAACCCCTTGTTTCAGTGGCCAGACTCCTCTCCCGGTGTCGTAGAGACAATTGATAGGATGACGGAAATGGAACAGGCAGCTCCAACAACTGTCCTAAAACTTTTTAGAGAGCGACCAGACCAGGTTAGTGTCCTTTACCCTTATGAATAGGAGTCACGTCAAGATACTGACTGTAGATATACAATTGACAAGGGTATCAACAGTTGTCCTGTTCCCGCTGCCGTCGCTGTCCCTCCTGGCTCTTCTTCCTCGTTCTTCAATCTTGAGGTCCGAGAGAGCCCTTCCAGTTTGGGCAAATTTCCAGAGATCTGCGGATAATAATTAATGCGAAAGATTATTAATCAAAGGTTAGTAATATATGACTAATAACTCTGTTAAGCGCCGGGAGCTTAGGTTGCACCTTCTGATTGGTTGGAGATTTGGGCTACACATACTCCGTACAACCGAAGCAAGAAGTTGGAACGATAAGCAGGCAACAAAAAGGAGGAGAAGAAACAGCCAGCAACGAAAAGAAAGACTCTTGCTTTGTGTCTCTTCTCTGGCTTTTACTCCTCCGTTGGCTTGCTGTATAGCCTGGTAGCTGTGCAGTGGAAGGCTTTATTCTCGGCACCAGCCAGCTGTTCAAACTGCTCCGTAGGCATAACTGCCTAAAGGACGGTGCTAAAGATGCCCCCCCTCCCAGGCGAAGAACGGCTCCTGACCGTGTAAGTAATTGACTTAGATAAATTTGAAAGTCTGTACATTGTTGCTGATAGGAATTCCAGGTTCTCGGATGTTCATTATTACTTTACGGCGCCCTCCCCGCAGCCTACACACCACCGATTCGATAAGGGCTCCTATCTCTATATCTATCATAACCCTTCTCAGGGCGGATCCAGAATTGAGATTGCGAACAATCCTGGGACCCGTGAACAGGGTGCCTTCAACGGCTGTAGGTCGTATATTTCATATATATAGATTGGGTTTAGCAGTATTGTTAAGCTCTAACCGTTTGCAGCGTTGTCATCTATCCACCTACGAACTTCTGATACCTTCCCAACTCTCTTTACACTTACGGTGGATGGATGTCGAAACAGTATGGGAGTGTCTCCTACAACTCATGGGAGCACTGAGCATGAGTGGCGCTTAGGATGGATGAATCCAGCGGATAGAAGTATATCATATTTTCGTCTGCATACGCTTGATCTATATTTCTGGACTCTGGACGATGCAAAACAATTCTTGGCTACCGTTAAAAGGCTTTTAGCCCCAAATCAGCTGGAAAATATACAGCAAATCCAACCATCTTCCCAGCAAGCTCCAATGAGTGCTGTGGTGCAAAACCTGGAGAAGGTTGCGATATCAGATCCTGGTTATCAGCAGCAGCAGCAGCATATTAGGCCTGATGTTCATAGTATAAAGAACATCCCGCCACCACCACCTCCGCCTCCACATCCAACCATGCAGCCCACGCCTCCCGTTATTCCCGCAAGTGTCCAAGTTGTGACCCAACCTGTTAGCCCGATAGATGATGCGGCATCTCATGCATCAACTACCCAGGAAAAGAAAGAAGCCCCGGCATCATACGCTCCCCTTGCGTATAATCCTGCTGCCCCACCAGCTCCAGAGCCCATAAAACCTCGCGAGGTGACTCCCCCACCCCCCGATGCTGCCGTGGGTACAGGACTTTCCACCCCCGGCATGGGAATGACTTTCGCACCACCTCCTACTGGAGAAATTGAGAGCCCCCAACCTGTTCAACCTCATGGTGTGGGAAATGTTAGCGGTTCTAACCCGCAGCCTTATACAGTTCCAGGCGTCCAGGGGCCATACTCGCCTGCATCTTCGAGTATTAATCAGCAATCATACACCCCAGGTCACCCCCCACCCGGCGGTATGTCTTTTGGACCTCCACCAACTACTGCCACTATCCCTCCAACAGCTCCTCCAACTACTGCGGCTAGTCATCGCGGAAGCTATGGCTCAACCTTTGCGCCGCCTCCTCAGGACCCTAATGCGCACCTGTATGGCCAGCAGAGTTTTGGCCCGCCACCAGTTAACCAATATACTCAGCCTCTGGCTCAGAACCATGGTCATCTTACTCGACGAGAATCACAGGCTTCCCAGCACTCTGCCGGTGGATATAGCTATAACTATCCCCAACAGCAGCAGCAACCGCAGCAGCAGCAGCCTAGGCCAAAAGACTATTTCATACATCAGCAGGTCTATAATCCATCAGGGTCCGATCAGACTCCCACCACCAACACGAATGAACCTGCCAAGTATAGCAAACTCGGCAACGGTGCAATCCGCATGGAAAAAGGGGTTAACAAACTCTTCAAGAAATTGGAGAACAGGATATAAGTTATGACAACTCGAAGTTTGAGGGGATAGATAGCTTTTTTAACGACACGACAGATGAATTTTTTAACCTCCTACACATGATTATCTACATTTAATGCTGCGTTTATGTTTCATCATTAAGGCCTTCAAGCAAGCGATTTTCTCCAACATTAAACTATATTGTTTGCTAGGAGTTTATAATTAGCATCAGGGAGCAAGTAAAATCACACTTTTCAACATTCACACGGCTCAGCTGACAAGCAACTTACTCTGCCTAGAGAAACATCAAGGCCAGAGTGGCTGATAATATTGTCAGCAGTGGTCCCCTGTAGCGAGGCAATCATAGATGTACCTCAAGCCTTGAGTGATGACGAAACTAGATGGAGCAAGCTGATTCGGTACGAGAAGGGCCTTCAAAGGGCTTCCTGTGGAGGCTGGCGATCCTCGTATTTAGGCAAAGGAGGCAGTGAAGGAATCCTTCGAGAATCTCTCTGCGGCTGAGCCTCGAGCGCCTGATGGCACCCATTTAGGTTGTAACTATAAAATATATCATATTGTGGTAGAGAAATTGTATATATAATGCACCAGGAGTCCTTGTTACTAAATAATTTTTACTTTCCGACAATAAAGAAAATCATAAAATGACAAATTGAGGCCGTTGATAACATCAAACCAAACTCTATACCTTCAAATCCCAATTTCAAACCCACCATTTTTCAACGGGGTACGACTCTCCACTCTCTGAACCCGCTGATAATACTCTAATTATCGACATTCGCCTTGAACGGTAGCCGTTTCGAGATCATTATGTGTTTCTCATCCAGTGATCGTGATTATGCGCCGCCGCCCCGAAAATCTAAGATATACAATCAAAAACCCACTCATGGTTATCCTAAGAAAAAGTACAAGAATCACGGTGACTTCCTTGACGGCGGAGGCTATGGAAACAACAGCAGTGGCCCCTACTGGGGTGGCCATCATGGGCATCATGGAGATGGCGGCGGTGGGGGTTGGGGCGGTTGTGACGGTGGCGGAGGAGGGGGAGGAGGTGATGGGGGAGGCGGCGGCGGCGGCGGAGGGTGTTGATGAGGCCCAACTTCATGTTCACTTATAACCGCTTATTGGTTAAATAATGTCCAAACGGGCTGTTGATAAGTAGTTAATGGCCAATTGTTCTCCCGAGCCTAGCAGGAAAGACTAAATATAAGGTTTTTTGATTGTCCATAAGTATGTTATATCAAAAGTCTGAATATCTGAAGTGCCAGAACGCTTCTGTGCTGTTATATTAGAAAAGTCAAAAAGTGAGAATCTGTAAACGAGTGTCGCAAGTCATTATTCGTAATCAGGGTATACAACTGCATTGGCACCATTATGGTGGAGAGACAGCTGCATCTGGTAGCCTGTTCTGTGGGGTAATTGTATCATTGTTTTCGTTTTGGATTTTAGGAGGAGGCTGCTTATTTAGATTGACAGCATGGAACTGGTGCCACGAGCTAAGTGAGATAGTTAGCACAGCTATAGAAATGATGGAGCAGCCAAGGTATAAACTTACTCAGGGGCGTAGAGAACATATCGAGCCATTGCTTCCCGGAAGCGGCTTTTGTACTCCTTAGGGCTGGTCACCGTCGGTCGGTTCTTACCGCCTCCTGCAAACCCTCGGTCTTTAATCCAAGACTCCAATTTCTTATCCCAAGTGTAAGTTCGGATGCAATCAATAATGCCAACCACAATTTCTTGCTTGCTCTCGTCTATAGCAATCATGAGAGAGTAGTCCATGACATTCTGACGTGCGAGGAATAGCGTATCATTCCAGACGCTTTGGCTAAGCAGTTTTTTCGAGTGTTCTCGAGTGAAAAGTGGGCTTTCATAGATGAACTCAACCATATTTTCATCAAGCAGGACTTCGTTTCTCTCTCCGGTGCTTTGAACCTTCCGGTTACGCATAGAACCCTTGAGGTCAAATATTCTGGTTGGAGTACGGTCGTAGAACAAATTTTCCATGATAAGGAGAAACCAGTTGAATTCCACTCCTGTTACCGGATTCTTGATAATGACTTGGTAAAAACCAAACATTTTTGCAATCACAGAAGGGAGTTCATGGAAGAGCGCTTCAGACATGATCTGGAAGTAGTCCGGTGCAAATTTCAAGAAGGCTTGAGTCTCTATGGTTGAAAGCGACTTCAGTATAAATCGATCGTCTAGTGTCTTAAGGAAAACTGATTTCGTCTTCCCTCCTTTGGAATCCCATTTCATGCACCGAGAAAGTGACTCGACAATACGGTCAGCAACACCACATTTTCTGCGAAGAGCGTCGAATTGCTCAGCATAAAATACTTTGCAAAGCATCTTTGCTTGGCCCTCTTGAAATTGATATTTGAGGTGTGTGCCGGTACTTCGAAGCAACGACTGTTCAACCTCGGGTCCCGCATCAGCATTTACTGAATCGCTTGCTTCATTCTGCTCCTGGATACTTTTCAGCTTTTGCTGGTAATCTTCGGAGTTCAAAGCAAAAGCAATCAACGAGCTCGGCTCATCTTCCCTGACAATAATATCGCAGTCCGCAAAGACATGGTCAGAGTCGCTAAGCGGATAATCCAAGGGAGCCCAGCCACTTGCGGAACGTTCAGCCCAGAAG